CCGCCCTTGTCTCGACTGTTGACGGCTGGATTTTTCATACAACTTGTTGAACTCTGTACTTAGCACAGAATGAATCTTATGTGTACAAAGTTAATTGAAAATAGATCTTAGAAAAAAATAAGAATGGGAGAAGGAGAGGCAGGAGTTAGAAGGGTGGGAAGAATCACCAGGTTCCTAAGGTTGTTTTTACGGAACGCATTGAGTTCATATACCTTAAGTAAAAGGCTTCTCAGGGCACAAAACCAAATTAGTCTGAAATAAAATGTTCCAAAAAGAGAAAGCCACGGGCTCCAGGCCGCCTCCCATGACCTTCCACAGCTGTCCTGATCCCACCAAGGAACTTCCAGAGAGCGCCCCCCCCCCCCCGGCGGGGGAGACCCCCCAGGGCCCCCAAGGTCTACACCACACTGCTGCCCGAGGGGTTTCCATCTAATCTCAGGTGGGGAGCCCCTCCCTCGGGAGCCACCCTCAAGGCAAAGTGGGGTCCTCCTTCTCTCTCCCTGGGGAGGAGTCCTGCCCCAGACCCCCTGAGTTGGGCAGGATCCGTGATGGTCCTGGCCAGTGCACTGGTCAGGACTGTGGGCCTACGGCCATTTCCTCCCGGAAATGACCCCTGGGGCCCACCTTCTCTCCCAAGAGAATGCCCGCCTGGCCTGGGTCACGGAGGAGCGGCTGTGGCTTTCTGTGGAGCTTGGTGACGTGCGTGGGAAAGGTGTCAGAGGCCACCTGTTGAACTCTCCGCCTGATGCACACACTGCACTGGGGACCAGGAACGGACTCTCAGGGGCAGGTGCGGCCGCCAGTCCGGGCACAGTGGGGCGGATGGGAGTGCAGGCTGACCCGGAGACCACACCCAGGAGCAGTCAGCTCTCAGAGGCGCCGACGGCCCGGACTCTGGGTCCCCAGCCTTTGCGTGTGCTGCACCCCGTTCCCAGGGCCGGGGAACGAAGGCCACCCCCTCCTAAAGCCGGACCCGTGTCCCCAGGCACCCAGCTACACAGCCTCAGTTCCCTGCCCTGCAAAATGGGGATTTCACAGCGCCTCCCGGGCGGCAGATACAGCATGAGACGCAGCAAGCCCTGGCCAAGGACAGTGCGGGGCTCATCAATGATGTCCATTTTGTATCACTGTTAATTTAGCAGACAAGGCCGGCGCCGCGGCTCACTAGGCTAATCCTCCGCCTTGCAGCGCCGGCACACCAGGTTCTAGTCCCGGTCGGGGCACCGGATTCTGTCCCGGTTGCCCCTCTTCCAGGCCAGCTCTCTGCTGTGGCCAGGGAGTGCAGTGGAGGATGGCCCAAGTGCTTGGGCCCTGCACCCCATGGGAGACCAGGAGAAGCACCTGGCTCCTGGCTTCGGATCAGCGCGGTGCACCGGCCGCAGTGCGCCGGCCGCAGCAGCCATTGGAGGGTGAACCAACGGCAAAGGAAGACCTTTCTCTCTGTTTCTCTCTCTTACTGTCCACTCTGCCTGTCCAAAAAAAAAAAAAAAAATCAGCAGACAACCGGAGGGAGCGGCACTGCGGCCCTGGCCAGCCACGGACAGCGATCCTCTCCCTCGTCACCATCCTATCGGCCTGCCTCCCTCCCGGGGCCTCTCCAGCGTGTCCAGACTGGTTCCAAGGCTTCTCCTCCATGCTGGTCAGGCAATGAGCCCGCCTCACCCACTGGCCCAAGGCTGCCGAGGCTGACAGAGCAGTGACTGCTGGGAGCACGTACAGCTGGAACCCAGGTCCCTCCCGGCTGCACCCGGGCAGGAGAGAATCCAACTCCCAGGGACCGATACCACCGAGCCCCCACCCCCAAGGACCCGCAAACAAAAAGGCCAGGGTCCGAAGGCCCCTGCTCTGTGGGGGGGAAGTTAGACGGAGCCTGGGGGAGTCCCGGGAGTCCCCTCTCCAGCACCAGGTGGGCTGCACTGGGCAGTAGAGCTTTCCCGTCTTTCCTCCAAGGCAGGCACCCCAGGGCGGCCCCTCTGCACCGAGTAGTGAAACCTTGGGAGGAACTTTTCCTAGTCCACACTCAGCAACCCTTGGTCCTGGAGGAGGAGGAGGAGGAAGGGAAACGGTGTGTGGGGGGGGCTGGACCCCAGCCCTTGTAAGCCCAGTCTCAGCATGGACTGGGGGCTCAGAGCTCAGCTCCCGGCTGTGCCGCCCGCCTGGCCTGCCGGGGCATTCTCTCCATCTCTCCATTTAACCACGAAGCCTTGCCTACCCCAGTCTGGGTGCTGGGAGCGCCCCACCCCCACCCCGGCTCTCTGATTCTGTCCCATCCGTTCTGACAGATGCCCAATAAACCTTGCTACCTTGCTTACCGCTGTTCTCTGTCTCACATCTGAATTCTTTCTTGCGCAAAGAAAAGAACCCACTGACCGTCTCCCTAACGCTGCAGCCTCTGCTGTGGCTGTGTTCCACTGAAACCCCGTGCACGTCATACAACTCCCCATGTCAAGAAGTGTTGAAAATCATACAAACCAGGGCCGGCGCTGTGGCGTAGCAGGAAAAGCCGCCTGCAGTGCCGCCATCCCATGTGGGCGCTGGTTCAAATCCCGGCTGCTCCACTTCCAACCCGGCTCTCTGCTATGGCCTGGGAAAGCAGTGGAGGATGGCCCAAGGACTGGGGCCCCTGCACCCACGTGGGAGACCTGGAGGAAGCTCCTGGCTCCTGGCTTCGGATCCGCACAGCCAATTGGGGAGTGAACCAGCGGATGGAAGACCTCTCTCTTTCTCTCTTTCTCTCTCTGTCTCTCCTCTCTTTGCATAACTCTGACTTTCAAATAAATAAAATAAATCTTTAAAATTTTTTTTCACTTACTGTTTTCACAGTTGCATGGTGCATATCTTACACTACCAAGTTTAATGGGACACTGTCCCTTTAAATCCTGCCCAACCACCTGAGTAGGTGGACAAGCTGGCGCATGCGCACTCCTCTGCGGGACCGGCCCCCTCGAGCAACAGCCTTCCCCGAGCCTGTAGGAGGGAGGTTAAAGGTCCTCCCACACAGTCCTTATACGCAAGCGTAAATCCTAGTTGCGAGCACTATATCATGCCGGGAGCCCAGTCCCTTTTTCACTCCCGAAAGTCCCACCCCCGCCAAGGCCAATCAGCGGCCCTCGCCCTTTGCCATGGCCAATGGCAGCGAGCTTGGGGGGCGTGGCCGAGCGTCCGGGGGCGCGGCCTGGTGCTGAGAGAAGCGGCGGGGCGAGCCGGGGGCTCCAGTGAACAGCGCCGCCGGACGGGGATCACCGGCGGGCGGCGAGCGGAGGCGGCCCGGGCCCGGCGGTCTCCGAGATGTCACGATGGCTGTGGCCATGGTCGAACTGTGTGAAAGAGCGGGTCTGCCGCTACTTGCTGCACCACTACCTGGGCCACTTCTTCCAGGAGCACCTCAGCCTGGACCAGCTCAGCCTGGATCTCTACAAGGGCAGCGTTGCCCTCCGGGACATCCACCTGGAGATCTGGGTGAGGAGCCAGGCCGGAGCCCGGGCAGGTGCGGAGGGCGGGAGGGTCGCCGCGACCGGACCCGCGAACGGGCCGGGCCGGGCCGGGGGAGCAGGCACCCTGGTGGTCGCTTCGGAGCGGGAAGGGGTCCGCGTCCCCACCGCCCGGGGGAAGCGGAGCCGGGGAGGGGTCCGCGTCCCCACCGCCCGGGGGAAGCGGAGCCGGGGAGGGGTGTCCCTCGTCTGGAGGCCGCCAGCATCATCCCGTCGAGTTTGTCGGGCGAGTCGGGGACCCCCCAGAGCCGGGACCCAGGCTCGGCCCGGGCGGGCTGGCGGGGGTCCAGAGACCCGGCCAGGGCACCTGTGGAAAACTTGACCTCCTGACCTCCGGGCCCGGGCCGGTGGGCGGGGTTCGCCTCCGGATGTGGATGTCAACAACAGCGTCAGCCCCGTGTTGATCAACACGGCGGCGTGCGAGGGCTACCGACTTCCTGTTTGGGGAGCGCGGGAGGACCAGGGGTGTTTGGGGGAGGGGCTTGGGAGTCAGTGTCCCTACCCAGAGCTGGGGGGAGTCCGGCTGAGGCTGGGGGCGGCCAGGGGCCCTGACTCACAGCTCAGCTGACCCGGCCAGGAGCAGTGAGAGGCCCCGGCTCCTGACTGCCGTGCAGGGCGGCAGGAGAGGGCGTGGGGCACTGGCCTGCCTGTCTTCTGGCTGGCACAGGGGGGTCCACAACTAGAGGGTGGCCAGGCCTTGGTCCTCTCGCTCTGCCTGTGCCTGGTCACCGGATCTGACAGGTGTGGTACAGAGGCCGTCTCTCTGGTGCTCCCGCCCAGAGCGCCTGGGGTCGCAGGGGGGAGGCAGGTGGGCTGCAAGGAGCCCCAGACCGCGGCAGCCAGGGCCTCGGCTGCACCACGGCTCTGAGGCTGAGGGTCCTGTGGGCGCCGCTCCTGGGCGTCACTCCCAGGCCACTGGGCACTGCGACCCTCTGCCAGTCCTCCCTGCCCATCACGCCCACGGCTGGGGCACGCCCCCGTCCGCGCCCTCCACCTCCCTCCTCCGCCTGGGCTCTCCCTCCTCCGCCTCGGCTCTCCCTCCTCCGCCTGGCCAGGCGGGGCGACCACACGAGGCCAGGGCAGCCAGCAGACCGAAGGCCTGGGCTCGGCTGAGCTGGCCTTGTCCCCTGCCTGCTTGCAGTCTGTGAACGAGGTGCTGGAGTCCATGGAGTCGCCACTGGAGCTGGTGGAAGGCTTCGTGGGCTCCATCGAGGTGGCCGTGCCCTGGGCCGCCCTGCTCACCGACCACTGCACGGTGCGCGTGTCCGGCCTCCAGCTCACCCTGCAGCCCCGCCAGAGCCCAGGTGAGGCCGGGACGGGCCCGGCGGAGTGGGCCCCAGGAGCCCACGGAGCCTGCTTGCCCTGAGACCCGCTCCCTCCCTGTAGGGCCAGGGCCTGCGGACTCCCAGAGCTGGGCTTCCTGCATGACCACCAGCCTGCAGCTGGCCCAGGAGTGTATGCGGGCCGGGATGCCGGAGCCCTCGGAGCCGCCGCAGCCGCTGGAGGGGCTGGAGATGTTTGCCCAGACCATCGAGACTGGTGAGCGGGCCCCTCCCCAGCCCCCTGCCCCTCCATGGCCTGCGGGATGGGGCCCAGGCAGCATCAGGACCGCCTGCTACCCAGGAGGGAAACGGCATCTCCCATTGCTGCTCCTCCTGACCTGAGACCCCCCCCAAAGTGCTGCGGAGGATCAAGGTGACCTTCCTGGACACGGTCGTGAGAGTGGAGCACTCGCCGGGCGACGGGGAGCCAGGCGTGGCCGTGGAGGTCCACGTGCAGAGGTAGGGGTGGGAGCCGCTCAAGGGCTCTGGCCGTGCCCCCAGCCCAGCCTGGGTGGCCGTGGGGGTTTGTTATGACCCTGGACTGGCGTCTGCGGCCAGCCAAGGGCCGAGGAAGCCAGACCTGGAGGCCCAGGGTGGCCTGGGTATGAGGGGCAGCTCGGCAGGGCAGGCTCCCTGACCCCGTGCCCCCAGAGCCAGAGCGGAGCCCTGTGCGGCTCGCGGGCTCCAGGCCTGGGGCGGCCGGGGCGGAGGCTGAGCCTGCGCTCCGCAGACTGGACTACTGTGACGAGGCCGTGCGAGACCCGAGCCAGGCGCCGCCGGTGGACGTGCACCAGCCGCCCGCCTTCCTGCACAAGCTGCTGCAGCTGGCCGGCGTCCGCCTGCACTTGGAGGAGCTCCCGCCCCAGGTGGGCCCCCTGGGATTCCTGCGGCCGCCTTGTCCTTGGCTCCCTGGGGGCCCTGCTGTCCCTTCCGACCGCTCCACATCCTGTGTCCTCACCTCCCAGGAAGAACCTCCGGAGCCCCCCCTGCAGATCGGCAGCTGCTCAGGGTACATGGAACTCGTGGTGAAGCTAAAACAGAACGAAGCCTTCCCGGGCCCCAAGGTAGGTCCCCGGGCCCCCGGGGGGGAGGGTTGCGCCCCATCTCCAGCCCAGAGCGGGTGTCGGGGAGGGGGGTGGCCCGGCAAGTGGCCTGTTGCTGCCCCAGGGTGTGGGTCGGTGGGGGTGGGGGCAGCTCCGGGGCCAGGGTGCGAGCGTCAGCTCCACGCTGCCCCCTGCCCCGTAGTTGGAGGTGGCGGGACAGCTGGGCTCCCTGCACCTGCTGCTGACCCCAAGGCAGCTCCAGCAGCTTCAGGAACTGCTCAGCGCCGTGAGCCTCCCAGGTGAGGCCTCGGGGCAGCCCGGGGGGGGGGAGGGCTGGGGGGAGGGCCGGCCAGGCTGGGCTGACGTGTGCCCCCCCCCCCCCCCCCCGCAGACCCCGAAGGCCTGGCTGACAAGCTGAACAAGAGCCGGCCCCTGGGCGCCGAAGACCTGTGGCTGATCGAACAGGACCTGAACCAGCAGCTGCAGGCGGGCGCCGCGGCGGAGCCCCTCAGCCCGGACCCCCTTTCCAACCCCCTTCTGAACCTGGACAGCACCGGTGGGTGCGGGGCCAGGCCTGGGGCAGAGAGGGAGCGAGGGTGGGTGCGAGAGGCGGGGCCGACCTGGCTGCCCTGACGCCGCCCGCCTGGTCCCCAGACCTCTTCTTCTCCATGGCGGGCCTCACCAGCAGCGTGGCCTCGGCCGTGTCAGAGCTCTCGCTCTCGGACGTGGACCTGGGCTCCTCGCTGCACAGCCGCGTGGGCTCCCGCCGGGCCTCTACCCAGGCCCCCCGAGCTGGTAAGTCGGGCCCCCTGGGCGGGGCTGCGCCCAGTGCTGAGACTCGCTGTGGGCCAGGCACCGGGCTGGCGTCCTTGGAAGGTGGAGCTGAGGCGGGGGGAGGGCCTGGCACACGGGGCCACTCTGTCTTCCCCGCCCACCGAGAGCCACACAAGCCCCGTCCTGGGCCACCCCTCCCTCTGCCTGGGGCCACCCGGGAGCGCGATCCCCCAGCGAAGCCCCTGTGTCCCCTCAGGCAAGGCGGCCCCCACGCCCCTCCCGGACACCCTGCGCCCTGACTCGCTGCTGAAGATGACTTTGGGGGGCCTGACCTTGACCCTGCAGCAGACGTCCGCCCCGTCTCCTGGCCCACCTGACCTCGCTGCCCGCTTCTTTGCCGAGTTTGACGTCGCCAAGGAGGGGCCTATCGGCTCCCGCGACTTCCACCACCTGCGGCCCCGCTTCCAGAGAGCCTGTCCCTGCAGCCACGTGCGGTATGTGCCCGAGGCAGGGCCCGCAGCGGGCGACGGGAGCCCCCAGGCCACCTACTGACGCCTGCGCGGCGCGCTCCTCGCAGGCTGACGGGCGCGGCGGTGCAGCTGTCCTGGGAGCTGCGCACGGGCGGCCGAGGCCGGCGGACCAGCAGCACGGAGGTGCACTTCGGGCAGCTGGAGGTGCTGGAGTGTCTCTGGCCCAGGGGCGCCTCGGAGCCCGAGTACACGGAGGTGAGGGCAGAGCCTGCGGCGGCGCGGGGGGGGGGCACCCGGGCCTGGCATCCTGGCCTGACTCTTGTTCACCCCCCACCCACCTCCCATCCCAGATCCTGAGTTTTCCCAGTAACCTGAGCTCCCAGGCCTCAGCTCGGCCTTCCGCCCACCTCCGCCACACCCAGACCCTGCGCCGTGTGCCCAAGGTAACCTGCCCTCCGTGCCAGACCTGGTGGCTGTTGGTGGCGTCCCATGTTGCCTTGGCCCTACCCAGGCCTCCGCCAGCTTCTCCTCTGCCCCTGCCCCTCCCCCTGCGCCCCCTCCAGGGTCTTCTGCCCGAGTTCCCCTCTCATCGACTGGGAGGGCTCCAGGTTTTGTTTTGCCGCGGGGAGCCCCGTGCCATCTGCCTGGACCACCACACGACACGGCCCCTCTGACCCAAGCGCCCTCGCCCCCAGAGCCGACCCCGGCGCTCAGTTGCCTGCCATTGCCACTCAGAGCTGGCCTTGGACCTGGATGACTTCCAAGCGGACGTGGAGCTCGGGGCCCTGGACCGGCTTGCTGCCCTGCTGCGCCTGGCCACCACGCCCCCCGAGCCGCCTGCCGGCCTCCTGGTGAGCAGCCCAGCGGGGGCCGCACCGGGGAGGAGAGCAGGTGTGGAGGCCCTGGCTGTTGACCACAGACGGAGGGTCGCTGGTGGCACTCTGACCCCTGCCCCCCCACAGGCAGAGCCCCCGCCGATGACCGAGCAGCAGACCGTATTTCGGCTGGCGGCGCCCCGGGCCACGCTGCGGCTGCGCTTCCCCATCGCCGACCTGCGGCCCGAGCGCGACCCCTGGGCAGGCCGGGCCGTGCGGGCTGAGCAGCTGCGGCTGGAGCTGAGTGAGCCCCAGTTCCGATCAGAGCTTAGCAGCGGGCCCGGGCCCCCAGCCCCCACCCACCTGGAGCTCACCTGCTCCGACCTGCATGGTGAGAGCCCCGGGGGACAGCGTCTGGGGGGTCTGGGCCTTGGGAGGAGGGGGCTGGGGCACAGTCGGACCAGACCCTGGCACGGGTCCTTGACAGCTGTGCAGGGCACCGAGCATTGCCTGTCCCTGGGCAGCGGGCAGAGGGGACCCTTCGTGCCTGCGCCGTAGTAGAACGTGGGTGTGGGGGGCCGGGGCTGACAGCCGGCGCTGGGGGACATCTGGGAGAGGCGGCAGTGACGACCCCTCCCCGCTCTGCCCCTCCAGGTGTGTACGAAGACGGCGAGAAGCCGCCTGTCTCCTGTCTCCGAGTCTCCAAAGCCCTGGACCCCGAGAGCACTGGGCAGAAGTACTTCCTGCCCCAGTAAGCGGGGGCTCTGGGAGGGGCCGCAGGAGGCCGGTGGGGCGCCAGGCGCAGGGGCCCTCCGGCCAGTGACAGACCTGTGCCCGGCAGGGTAGTGCTGACCCTGAACCCCCAGGCCAGCAGCGCGCAGTGGGAGGTGGCCGCACAGAAGGGAGAGGACCTGGAACTGTCCACGGAGAGCCCCTGCGAGCTGCAGGAGCCCGAGCCCTCACCCTTCTCCTCCAAGAGGACCATGTACGAGACGGAGGAGGTGAGGCCCGGCCCCCACTCTCCCCGCACCCCCAGCGCCTGCCAGCCTGTGCCGTGGGTGCGGCTGCGGGCCAGGCGGGCAGCACTGCCTAGGGGACTCCACCTGGGACGACCTCGTCTCCAGTTACTTCCGGCCAGTGGGGGAGGTGGGTCCCCTCCTTTCCGGCTTCTAGGGTGGGCGCAACCCTGGGACCTGGGTCCTCCTGGGCTGAAGGCGATGGGGGCTGAGTGAGGAGCACCCAGGCCTGACCTGTGGCGCCAGACTGCCCGGGTTCGAATCCAGGCTCTGCCACTTGGCGGCTGTGTCACCCTGAGCAGTTACCTACGCGACGGGCTCTCTAGCTGGACAGCAGGCACTGCAGCCTCTGTCTCAGGCCTGTTGGGGACTGAAGGCAGTCACAGGCGGGAGGCTGGAGACCCGGGCCCGAGAAGGGTGCCCAGGGGTGATGGTGGGCGGGACTCGGGGCCCACGCAGGTGTCTCTCAGCGGCGCTCTGCCCGCTGAGCCTCTCACCGGCCGCCCCGTGCAGATGGTGATTCCCGGAGACCCCGAGGAGATGCGGACATTCCAGACTCGGACCCTGGCGCTGTCCCGCTGCACCCTGGAAGTGACCCTGCCCAGCGCCCACATCTTCCTGCCCAGCAAGGAGGTCTACGAGAGCATCTACAACAGGTGGAGACGCGGGGCAGGCGGGGCCGTGCCCGGGCCGCGCCCCGGCCCCCGCTCACCTCTGCCCTCCGCCCACCCACCCGCCGCAGGATCAACAACGACCTGCTCCTGTGGGAGCCCGCGGACCTGCTGCCCGCCGCCGGCCCCGCCGCCCAGCCGCCCGGCCGCCCCAGCCCCTCTTCCCTGCCGCACGACAGCTTCAAAATGTGCAAGTCCGCCTTCAAGCTGGGTATGTGGGCGGCCGGCACTGTGCCGCCGCCGAGAGGGCCCTGCAGCCGGGAGGGCCAGGCCAGCCTCCCCGGGCCTCCCGTCCAGCCGCTGCCGTGGTCTCACCCCAGACTCGGATTCAGACGATGAAGACGCCCCCTTCTTCTCCGTGGGGGCATCGGGCGCCCCCCAGCAGCCGCCGGCCGCCGAGCCCTCGAGCTCTGCTCTTTCCCAGAGCACCCTGTCCACCCTGGTGACGGTGCTGAAGGGTCGGATCACAGCGCTCTGCGAGGCCAAGGTGAGGGCAGCGGGGCGGGTGCCCACCACCCATGGCACCCAGCAGGATGCGCGTAGGGCGGCCCCCGGGAGGCGGGCGGGGCCGGGACGAGGTTCCCCCTCTGGACAAAGGGGCGAGCGCTGCCACGCAGAGCGCCCGGTGCCTAGCCTGTGGGAGAAGCTGGAGCTGACCCCGACCACCAGGGCCCCCAGCAGTGCCTCTCCCGAGGGGGTGCGAGCTGCCGAGGACCCTGGTGGAGCCGCGCTGTCCGCAGGACGAGGGTGGCGGGCGGCTGGAGGCCGTGCACGGGGAGCTGGTGCTGGACGTGGAGCAGGGCACCGTCTTCAGCGTCTCCCAGTACCGGGGCCAGCCTGGACTCGGCTATTTCTGCCTGGAAGCTGAGAAGGCCACCCTGTACCACCGAGGTGTGAGGGCTGGGGGTGGGGGCAGCTGCCAGCAGGGACCCCCGGCACACCTGGGGCAGCGTGCGTAGCCAGTTGCTTGGCACGGGCTCACCAGCTCCCTCCCCAGCGGCCGTGGACGACTACGTGCTGCCCAGTCACCTGGAGCTGCCCAGCTGCCCCCCGCCGGCCCGGCTAGCCCCCACCATCTACCCCTCGGAAGAAGGCGTGACTGAGCAGGGCGTCTCGGGCCGCCAGGGCCAGGGCCGGGGCCCGCACATGCTGTCCGCTGCCGTGCGTATCCACCTGGACCCGCACAGGAACATCAAGGTACAGCTTCCTCTGCTTGCCGCCGGCCGCCATCCCCGCGTCTGGAGGGGTGGGGGTCCCCACTGTGCTGATGGCACCCCCACCCCCAGGAGTTCCTGGTGACGCTGCGGCTGCACAGAGCCACCCTGCGCCACTACATGGCCTTGCCTGAACAGAGCTGGCACGCCCAGGTGAGCCGGCACAGCCGGGGCAGTCCCCCCGAGGGCGAGCAGGTCTGGAGCTTGGGCTGGGCCGTGGTGGACAGCCAGTGGGGGCAGGCCCAGAGGAGACGCCCTCACCGCCCGCCCGGCCTCCCCAGCTGCTGGAGTTCCTAGACGTGCTTGACGACCCCGTGCTGGGCTACCTGCCGCCCACGGTCATCACCGTCCTGCACACACACCTGTTCTCCTGCGCCGTGGACTACAGGTACCCGGGCCGGGTGGGCAGGCGGGGGGCTGGGCGGAAGGGGCCTGCCCACGGCGGTGGGGAGCCCGCCCCAGCCCGAGTGTGATCCCCAGGCCGCTCTACCTCCCCGTGCGAGTCCTCGTCACCGCGGAGACCTTCACCCTGTCCAGCAACATCATCATGGACACGTCCACCTTCCTGCTCAGGTGAGCAGGCCGCCGGGCCCAGCCCTAGAAGTGAGAACTCCCACCGCCCTGGAGGCCCGGCCGGCCTGAGGTCGGAGCCTGGGCCGGTTCGCTGCCTCTCTGGCAGTCCCCCTCGCGGGGTGTCCCGAGACTGTCGGGGTGAGAGGGATGGACCCAGGTCCCCGCTGTGACGGTGCCCTCGTGTGGTCACCCAGTAACTGACGGAGCCCCCCCCACCGGAGGGCGCCGTGCAGTGGTGACTCAGGTGCGAGAATAAGGTCAGAGAAGTGGGGATGTCAGAGCACAGCGTCCCCAGAAACCACACACAAAACTGCCTGGGTGTCCAGCAGTGTGCTTCCAAGGCGCGCGGTATAGACCCGTGCATGGCTGCGTAGACGAGACCAGAGAGAGGCGTGGCTCGCTCAGGACCTGGGCCGGACGGGCTGGACACCATGAGTGGCTTCAGCGAGGCCCCAGTGGGGTGGTGGGGCTGGAAGTGCTGGGGGAGCCCTAAGCGCCGCCCCACTGAAGTGGCGCCCGCGGGCTGGGCGGCCAGGCCCCTTCCCCCCCCCGCACCCATGGACACTGAGCCCAGAGAGGTTCTCCCCCCCACCCTGCACCCATGGACACTGAGCCCAGAGAGGCGAGCCCGCGACCCCGCTGCCCCCCCCGCCAGGTTCATTCTGGACGACTCGGCCTTGTTCCTGTCCGACAAGTGCGAGGTGGAGACCCTGGATCTGCGGCGAGGTGGGCACGGCCGGCCCGGCGCGCTCCCTGCTGAGGGGCCGCGGCCCCAGCACGTGCCAAGTCCTCGCAGGGAGGGGCGGGGGTGGGGAGGAGCCGAGAGGAACCTTCCCGAGCTTTCTGCTCCAGATTACGTCTGTGTCCTGGGTGTCGACCTCCTGGAGCTTGTGATCAAAACCTGGAAGGGGAGCACCGAGGGCAAACTGGTGAGTGGGGGTCCCAGGGCCCGGGTCCTGCTGCCCGCCCGCACCCAGCCTGCAGTTCCGCCCTTGCCCTTCTCTGCGGATGCAGGGTCTCGGCCCCGCCACCAGAGGGCAGTGCCGAGCAGGGGACAGGACTCAGCTCCCTGGGCGGGGGGCGGAGGCAGGGGTGGAGCCACCGCCTTGGGTGACCCGTCTGCTCAGTGGGCTCCGGGGCAAGCTGACCAGGCCAGGGAGGACAGCGGGGCTGCAATGACGTGGCCCTGCCCTGCCGCCCGCAGAGCCAGCCGCTGTTCGAGCTGCGCTGCTCCAACAACGTGCTGCACCTGCACAGCTGTGCCGACTCCTGCGCCCTGCTGGTCAACCTGCTGCAGTACGTACTGAGCGCGGGCGACCTGCACCCCCCGCCCCGGCCCCCCAGCCCCACGGAGATCGCCGGCCAGAAGGTACAGGTGAGCCTGGCCACGCAGGCTGCCGGAGCCCGGCCAGGCCCCTCGGGCCTGGGGTTGGGGGAGCCCCGGGGCCGCCCGCCCTGCGCGCTCACTGCCCGCTCCTCTGCCTGGCCCAGCTCTCGGAGAGCCCCGCCTCCCTGCCCGCCTGCCCCCCGGTGGAGACGGCCCTCATCAACCAGCGGGACCTGGCCGACGCCCTCCTGGACACTGAGCGGAGCCTGCGGGAGCTGGCCCAGCCCTCAGGTGTGGGGACGCGCCGGGGACAGCCGACGCAGCAAGTGCCGCAGCGGGCACGTCCCCAGACCGGCCTGTCTCTCTCCCATAGGTGGCCCGCTCCCTCAGGCCTCTCCCGTCTCCGTCTACCTGTTCCCAGGTGAACGGAGTGGGGCCCAGCCCCCTTCGCCTCCTGCCGGGGGCCCTGCTGGCAGCGTAGGGGCCCGGTCCGAGGCGAAGGAAGAGGAAAAGGAAGAGGAGGGGGAAGCAGACACGCTGGACAGCGACGAGTTCTGCATCCTGGACGCCCCTGGCCTGGGCATCCCGGTGCGCGGCAGGGCGGGGCTGGGCGGGCCGAGAGCCAGCAGGTGGATTGCCTGAGGTGGGGCGTGGGGGGAGGGAGCAGAGCAGGCAGGCAGCCCTCGGCCGCAGGGGCTGCGGCTGAATCGATGGCACCCGCCCCCCTGGACGTCCCTGCGACATGGGCTCTGGGGATGGTGGCCCAGGGCGGCCATCTGTTGTCAGATGGGGAGAAGGAAGGGAGGCAGTCGTGGGGCCGGGAGACCGGGGCTGGGGCCGCCTCCGTGCCACGCCTCTCAGCCTCTTGCTCCCGGCAGCCTCGAGACGGGGAGCCTGTGGTGACACAGCTGCACCCAGGCCCCATCGTCATACAGGACGGACACTTCTCGCGGCCGCTGGGCAGCACGGACCTGCTGCGGGCCCCCGCCCACTTCCCCGTGCCCAGCAGCCGCGTGGTGCTCCGCGAGGTCTCGCTCGTCTGGCACCTCTACGGGGGCCGGGACTTCGGCCCCCACCCTGGCCACAGGTGAGGGGCGAGGGGCGGGGGCAGCGGGAGGGGGCTGTGTCCGGCCCCGACTTGGAGCCCTCCCACCCCTTGCGGGCCTCACTCTCCTCCCCGGCCCCGCCTCCCGCCAAGAGCTGGGAGGGGGTGTCTGTCCTGAGGTGGGTGGGCCTGCCCTGAGGGGCTTGGGAAGGGGTTCCACTGAGGAACTGTTCCCCGCCCCCTTCCCAGGGCGAGAGTTGGCCTCCCAGGCCGGGGCTCCCCTTCCCGCTGTTCCGGCCCCAACCGGCCCCAGAACACGTGGCGGACGCAGGGGGGCAGCGGGCGGCAGCACCAGGTCCTCATGGAGATCCAGCTCAGCAAGGTGAGTGGGGGGCGCCGAGTGCCCGTTCTGCCCCCCCACCCCCTCCCCGGGGCAGCCCCCAGGTGCTGGTGGCAGGGAGCCACACAGGTAAAACCCATGCCTTCGTGGTTGGGGGGGCAGGCAGAATGGGGGACGCTGGGGCAGAGCAAGGTGGGGGGCGAGGAAGTGAGGCGGCAAGCAGGAGAGGGTCTCCGGAAGAGGGGGCCCGCGAGGCTGCGAGCAGGGAGCACCCCTGCCCCCCCCCCAGCAGCTGAGCGAGGGAGGGAGGAGGCCAAGCCAGGCGTCCTCAGGACTCGCTCCTTCCGGTTCCAGCTAGAGTGAGACAGGAGCGTCTGGGGGCGGGAGTGGAGAGATCGGAGTCCTGCCCTGGGTGGCGTGGGTGAGAAACAGCCAGGCCTGGGACGCTCGCGGAGGGTGCTCCCACTCAGAGCAGCCCCCAGCCAGTGCTCTGGGGCCTGGTGATGGCCGAGCACCATGGACCAGGGGGACATGCCGGGGAGCCCGTGGCTGCGCAGGGAGACAGGGCGGGGGGTGCAGGGGAGCCAGCCCGCCCCCCCTCGGGGTGCAAGGCCCTGCCAGGCCGAGGCGCTCCAGAAGAGGCCCAGGGTTCTGCCTGTGTAGACAGTGATGGGGGGAGGACGGGGTCCGTGAGGGACGTGGGGAGGGGTGAGGCCGCTCGTGGAGGTACTGGGGGGAGCTGGGAGAAGTTTTGGCTGCTGGCGGGGTTGGAGGCAGCAGCCACTCGGCCAGAGGAAGGCCGTGGGGCTGGGGCGGCGGCTCCCAGGGAGGCAGTGAAGGGCTTGGCATGGCCACGTGAAGCCCACAGGGCTGGTGGGGTGGCCACGGCGGGGCCGCAAGGCTGCAGCCCACGTGCGGCCGAGATGGAGCGGGGACAGGAAGGCAGCTGGGAGCCAGGGCCGGCCCTTCCCTCCTCCCGGTGCCTGCCCCCCGCCACAGGTGAGCTTCCAGCACGAGGTGTACCCAGCGGAGCCGGCCCCCGGCCCGGAGCTGGAGGAGCGGCCGCTGTCGCGCCAGGTGTTCATCGTGCAGGAGCTGGAGGTCCGGGACCGGCTCGCCTCCTCCCAGATCAACAAGTTCCTGTACCTGCACACCAGCGAGCGCATGCCGCGGCGCGCGCACTCCAACATGGTAGGCCCGCGTGGGGCTGGGCGGAGCCGCAGGGGCGGGGGCGGGGCCGGGGCCGACGGGCGCACTCCAACATGGTAGGCCCGCGTGGGGCTGGGCGGAGCCGCGGGGGCGGGGGCGGGGCCGGGGCCGACGGGCGCACTCCAACATGGTAGGCCTGCGTGGGGCTGGGCGGAGCCGCGGGGGCGGGGGCGGGGCCGACGGGCGCACTCCAACATGGTAGGCCTGCGTGGGGCTGGGCGGAGCCGCGGGGGCGGGGGCAGGGCTGACGGGCACTCGGCGGGGGAGAGGCCCAGGGCCCCGTGGGCACCCAGTGCTGGCCCTTTGTCCCCAGCTGACCATCAAAGCGTTGCACGTGGCCCCCACCACCGCCGTGGGCGGGCCCGAGTGCTGCCTCCGCGTCTCCCTGATGCCCCTGCGGCTGAACGTGGACCAGGTGAGTGGGCGCGGGGAGAGCCCAGGGGGCCCCGGCCGTCTCGGGCCTGCGAGGCTGACCGCGTCCCACCTGTCCCTGCAGGACGCCCTCTTCTTCCTCAAGGACTTCTTCACCAGTCTGGCAGCTGGCATCAACCCCATGGTCCCAGGGGAGAGCTCTGCGGAGGGTGAGAGGCTGGGCCAGTGAGGGAGGGGCCGGCCCCCCGACCCCACCCTCACTCCATGGCCTCCCCCCCCAGCTCACCCTGAGACGCGAGTCCGAACCAGCAGCCCCCAGGAAGGGCAGCCGGAGGCCGCGGCGGGTGGGCCCAGCTCCCCCTCGGCAGAGCGGCAGCCCGTCTACTTCAGGTAGGGCTGCGGGTGCGGGCCGGGCCAGGCTGCGGGGCTCAGGGGCGGCGACCAAGACCCACCCTCCCCTCCCACCCACCCAGGGAGTTCCGCTTCACATCGGAGGTGCCCATCTGGCTGGATTACCACGGCAAGCACGTCACCGTGGACCAAGTGGTAAGGGTGGCCGTGGGGGGGGCCCGTGGGGTCCCCGTGCTGCTCAGGGCCTCCGTGCAGCCGCCACTCGTGTCCAGCGGCTCTGTGGGCTGGCCGGTCCCCCGCCTGTGCCATCCCGTAAGCCTGACCCCCCCCCCCAGGGCACCTTCGCTGGCCTCCTCATCGGCCTGGCGCAGCTCAACTGCTCGGAACTGAAGCTCAAGCGGCTGTGCTGCCGGCACGGGTGAGCCCCCGGGCCCCGCCTGCCCCCACCCCCACCTCCCCCCCGTGGGGCGGCACAGCGCCCCTCGCCGCGTACACAGCTGGGAGGCCCAGGGCAGGCGCCCCACGCCCTCCGCCCCCGCCTCCCTCACCTCTTCCCCGCCAGGCTCCTGGGTGTGGACAAGGTACTGGGCTATGCTCTCAACGAGTGGCTGCAGGACATCCGCAAGAACCAGCTGCCCGGCCTGCTGGGCGGCGTGGGCCCCATGCACTCGGTCGTCCAGCTCTGTGAGTGCCCCTGGGGGTGGGGAGGCGGGCCTGGAACCGCGCGGGGCGGCCTGAGCCTCCTGACCGCCTCGACCCCCCCCCCCCGCCCCAGTCCAAGGGTTCCGGGACCTGCTGTGGCTGCCCATTGAGCAGTACAGGAAGGACGGGCGCCTCATGCGGGGGCTGCAGCGGGGGGCTGCCTCCTTCGGCTCCTCCACAGCCTCCGCTGCCCTGGAGCTTAGCAACCGGCTGGTGCAGGCCATCCAGGTGAGAGCCAGGGCTCCGGCCCGCCCCCTCCCGCCCCAGGGCAGGTCTGGCCTCAAGACCCCCAGGGAGTGGCTGCCCCGCCCAGGCCGCCACAGCCCACCATGTGGGCATGCGCACAGCAGGTCTTACGGAGGGGGGGGCTGTGCTCACAGAGACCCGAAGGCTGGCCCTGGCTCACTGAGGCCATGAGCCCTGCTAGTCCCAGGGGGACCCCCGGAGCCAGGAGCTGACCTCTGCCAGCCGCTGCAGGCAGAGCCGGGCAGTAGGGAGGGTGACCGCGGCCTTGGCGGTTGTAGGCTCAGGCCTCATGGGGTGGAGGGCGGGGTGTCAGAGGGCCTGGGTTGGGTTGGAGAGCGCAGCATTGGGTGAGATGTGGGGCAGGGCGCAGAGGGGCTCACCGGTGGGCCACGGGGCCTCTGCGGCCGCTGCCTCTGGGGCCCAGAGGCCGGGAGGAGCAGGGCGGCAGGTGGCACACAGCCCGAGTGGAGCCTGCTTGTGTGAGGCGGTCAGCGGAGGAGGGTTTGGGCTTGAGGACCCTTTAGGGAAGCCCCTCCAGTCATCTGCCGGCCTCAGTTTCTCCAGCCTGAGCTGTGGGAGTCGCGGGAGGGGCAGGGGCGTGGGGCGTCCCTGCGCTGGCCAGGGGGCCGACGGGCGTGCCCAGACCAGCTCCTCACGCTGCGCTCTCTCAGGCCACGGCGGAGACCGTGTACGACATCCTGTCCCCGGCGGCACCCGTCTCCCGCTCCCTACAGGGCAAACGCTCTGCCCGCAGGCTGCGCAGAGGCCAGCAGCCTGCCGACCTGCGGGAGGGCGTGGCCAAGGCCTACGACACGGTTCGGGAGGTGAGGAAGCCCGGCCCCGCTCGCGATGACCCCCACCCGCCCCTCCCACGGAGCCTGCGCTGACCTCTGACCCCCACAGGGCATCCTGGACACGGCTCAGACCATCTGTGACGTGGCGTCGCGGGGCCACGAGCAGAAGGGGCTGACGGGCGCTGTGGGGGGCGTGATCCGCCAGCTGCCGCCGACCGTGGTGAAGCCGCTCATCGTGGCCACGGAGGCCACGTCCAGCCTGCTGGGGGGCATGCGCAACCAGATCCTCCCCGACGCCCACAAGCACCACGCCCTCAAGTGGCGCTCCGAGGCCCAGGACTGAGCCGAGGGGCGCCCGGGACCCGGGGGCGGGGGGCCGTGACCCACCCCAGGCTAGGCCTGGACCCTTCAGGGGACGCCACTGTGAAGGGCCTGCCTGGCCCCCGTTGCCAGTTCGCCGCGAGGCCGGGGCCCTGCCCTGCGGCCTCAGCCTGCCTGCACTTTCCTTGGGCCTGCCCCGCCGGCCGGGCCCACGCCGCCGCCCGTCCCAGGACGGGCGCTTCCGGACTCTTGGACCTGACCCCACTCAGCCAAATGTCGTTCCGTGTCTCGGGGGAGGCAGGGGACAGACACCGTGTGGTTCAGTGTATTTTTACGCTCCTTGAGCGTGTGGGTCGGTGTCTGCATGAAGTGGAATAAACCGCGCCCACCGCCAGCCCCTCGCAGACCCCGTGTCTCTGTGGGGTCCCTGTTAGCCCCGGCCTCCTACCAGATCCTGCCTCGGTCCGCTCCTCGCTGTCGCCACCAGGGGTCGCCACCGGCTCCCGCTGTCCACCCACCCTGCACTTCCCCAGCCCCGGGCCCTGTCTTGCCACTTGGGGGGGGGGGGGGGGGCTGGCACCCTGACCCCTCCTGAGAGACCAGCTCAGCGTGGCGGGGGAGGGAGCAGTGACCCTTGGAGCCACCCTGCCTGCTCACGTTCCCACAAGGTTCAGGAGAGGCCTCACCCCCGGGGACACCAGGGTGACTCTGCCTGGGCCTCCGGGTCTTGTCCCTCCTGGTGGCCCCTGCCTGCTGGCCCAGAGAGCAGGAGTGTCACTCGAGACTCCGGGGCCTGGGTCACTGTCCCCGACATCCCCAGCAGGAGGCTTTTGGGGGTGATCAGACCTGTGCCCTGGGGTCCCAGCTCTGGGCCCAGAAGGGGAAGCAGCCGGGGGACAGTGCTGTCCCGACCAGCACTTGCCCACAGCCTGGGGAAACGCGCGTCACGCCTCCCCACTCCAGTCCTCACTAGCAGCTGTGGGGAACCAGAGGCCTGTGGAGGAGCCCTCAGCTTGCTGGGTTGGCCAAGGTGTCCAGGTGTCCCCAGGGCGCTGGGAGCAGGCGGGAGCTTCGCCAGGGACCCTGGGGTCCTGGTCACCAGGGTACTTGGCTGAGTGTGACTCAGTGGCCCGGCTGGGGCCTGAGGCCACCAGGAGGGGCAGCGGGGCCCCAGCGTGGTGCTTCCTGGACCTGCCCCCGCCTGCCGGGGCACAGTCCAGGGTTCCCTGCCCTTCGAACCATACTCAGATTGGGATTGACTCAGAGTGGGGTAATCATTAACCCGCCAGGGGCTGGGTCAACGGCTCAAAAGGCGCCGGGCCCTCTGGGTCCCCACTTCCTCCTGTGCCCCGAAGGCCAGCCAGGCACCAGGTAAGGCACTTCCCACGGCTGGCACCCCTGCAGCCCCCGCTGCCCCAGGGTGGCCCGAGCCCAGGCGCCTTCCTGCGGGGTCACTAGGCCTGAGGGACAAAGGAAGGGCCCCGGGCAAGCGCCTTCCTGCGGTGTGCCTCGGTTTCCAAGCGTGGCCCGAGGAGGGCAGAGCATCGGCTTTCAGAGCCGTGCAGCCCCGGGGAGCCGGGGGCACCCCACGGGCACTGGGACCCCCACAGGGCCCGACGCTGGTCTCGCTGGCCTGTGTGGGAGGGGGCTGGGTTACCTGCGTGGTCTCTGCAGGCTCATCCTGCCCGGGGAGCCCCCACCCCCCTGCACCCCAAGAGGGAGGACGCCATTTCAGGGAGGTCGCCAGGGTTCCAGGGACCCCAGAGCCCTGTCAGTGGCCCACCGCAGCCTCCTCTGCCTCTCTGGGCCCGTGTCCACCAGCAACGGAGGAGAGCATGGCCCAAGTCCACCCTGAAAGTTCCCTTCTCCAAAATGCCAGCTGGCGCCTGTCACCCGAGCCCCTGGGGTCAGCCTGGCTGGGAGGGGCCAAGAGCACATTGCAGGGAGGTGCTCCCTGGCCAGACCCCAGGCTCGAAGGCGGCCCGGTTCACGTGGGAGGAACCCGCAGCGGCTTCGAGAGGTTAAGCCACCTGTTCCAGGTCCCCCGGCCCCCAGGCCGTGGGGCTGGGTCTTCCCACAGCAGTGTGGGTGTCGGCGTCTCTCCCAGCTCCCCCACCTCGCTGCTGCTCCGCGCCTCCTTCCTCCCTTAGCCCCTCTGCCTCCCTCTCCTCTGTCCCCCACCCCGAGGCACTGGGAGCCCCTGGAGACTGGCAGCTGCTCCGGCCCCTCGGCTCCGTGACAGCAGCCAGGAGGGTGGGCAGAGGGCAGAGGGCGCAGGCCCTGGTGGCCAAGCCTGAGGCTGGGCCCGCGCTCCAGGCGGAAACGAAAGGCCCCAGGGACGGAGGGCGTGGGTGTCGGTGGGCAAAGGCTGCCCGGGTTGTAAATCGGAGCCACTCCCAGCTTTTATGAGGCAGATTTGGGGTTGAACTTGGACTTCGCCCAGGAAGGAGCCTGGGCACCACACGGGCGCCAGGGGTGGGCCCTGCATGATAAGGAACCTCCGAAGGAAGACGTGGACCTGGGGCCACCAGAACCCGGGGCCCCGGCTGAGCGGGCTGCGGGGACCCCCGATCCCTCCGCGGCGAGACCCCAGGCCTCCGGTTGGCTCCCACCCCCTGTAACAGCAACTCCATGTGGAATGCCCGTCTTTCCAGTGGGGCTGCTGTTATCCGGGGCGGGCGCCGGTACCCACGGAGAAGAGGCAGCGGCGGGGACTTCGTAGCCAGGCGCGGGCAGGCTGTCGCGGATCGCCGAGACCGAGTGCACAGGGCTCTGACCTATGAATTGACAGCCAGTGCTCCGTCTCCCCTCTGGCTGCCAATTCCATAGGTCACAGGTATGTTCGCCTCAATGCCGGCCGCCAGCACCTGCCGGGGCGGGGTGGGGCAGGTGCCCTGCGTGGTCCAGGTTCCGCTCCTCCACCTCAGGCCGGGCCTTCCTGGATCCCAGCACGCTGTGCTACCCCAGAGCACTGCACCCCCTGGGCGCCACCACCGTTCTGGGCTCCGGGTCCCACCGTTCCCATTCCCAGGGAGCTCAGCCCCAGCCGGCCGGGAGTGTCTGCCGGGCAGGCAGCGAGCCTGCGTCCTGCACCCACCGCAGCCCAGGGAGCCACGGTTTTCATGCCACAGCCTCTGCTGAGCACAGGGCCCCCCGCCTCCTGGGCCGTGCCCTCCCTCTCCCGCCAGCCTCATCTCCCTGCAGCCCTGCCTTGGCTCCGGCTCCCCCCGCCTTGCTGTGACCGGTGGAGCGGTTCCCCCAGCCCCCGGGACTCTAATGAGCACCGTTGGGTGGGGGCAGTAGCATCTAAGGGCCCTGCCCTCCCCCCTCTCCCGCCTGCAACAGCCGCACCCCTGCCCTAGCCTTCACGGTGTGGTTCTGGAGAGATTTCTCATTTGAGTAAGATTCTATGGCCACGAATGCCCGTGTCGCTCATCCAAGTGCCTGGGGTCAGACCCCAGCTCCGCCCCCAATCCCAGCTTCCTGCTGGTGGAGACCCTGGGAGGCAGCCGTGACAGCCCAAGTAGTCGGGTCCCTGCCACCCACATGGGAGGTGGAGCTATTGCAGGAGTAACCAGCGGATGGGGGCTCTGCTGTCTGTCTGTCTCTCTCTTCTCTCTGCCTCTCAATTAAAAATAATAATAAAAATAAAAAGCAGCAGCAGCAGAGGCCTGAGAATGAAGTCCCGGTCACTCAATGCAGCACCTGGGTCCCCAGCCCTCCCCGAGCCGCTCGCGGCCATCGCTTGGAGCGCTGCAGGCAACCTGTAGGGTGGCTGTCGCCTGGCAGACACAGGCTCAGGGAGCGGTGAGCGTTCACTACAGCCACACGGCAGGTTGAGTGCTGAGGCTGGCGCTGCGGGCGACGCTGTCTGGCCCCCACTCTGGTCCCTAAGCCGCCGGCTCTTGGGCCTCCTGCGGGCGGCTCTCGCCCCCGGTCCCGGCTGCCCGTCAGCACCAGCCTCCGCGCCCGGTGTCGCCCATGAGCCTGTAGGACCTGCTCTATAGGCGGCTCTGGGGCCCCGCCCTGCCTATCTTGTTCCGGAGGAGCTAAGGAGCCCAGGGCACTTATCTTATCCTCGTGCTGGCCTGGACTCCTGGGGCACAAAGTCCACGACTTACTCATCCTGCTGGCCTGGCTTCCCACCCATGGCAGGCATCGGCCATACGCGGGCGCTGGTGGGGCGCTGGACTCTGCCCCGCGGGGTGCTGTCGGGCCTCGGCTCGCGGACGCCATGCGTTAGCTCGGGACCGGGCAGACCCTGACTCGGCCTCTGCAGGTCTCGCTGGGTCTCACCCGGTCCCTCTCGGCACCCTTGCGACCTGCCTGCCCCCCCTGCAGTCTGCTTCCTCTCCTGCCCCACTCCCCAGCTCCCACCTGCGGGCTCGCACCTGGCCATTGGCAGCGTCTCCCCTAGCCTCCCACCCTGGCACAGGAGAGGTGATTATTAAATGCGCACTGAAAGGGCCGCCCGCAGGGGTGAGTGACGATGCTCAGGGAGGCCCGGCTTCGTCATCCTGCACAGGTGTGGCCCTTGGACGCTGCTAGGCATGACACACGTCTCCTTCGAGTACCGAGAAGGGCGCAGGCGGAGGGTGCGGTCGGGGTTTGGCCCGGGACCGAGACGCCGAAGGGCGCCGCCAGGGGGCGTCGCGGGCCTCGCGCTGCTCCCCGAGCCCCCTCCCTGCCGCCTCCAAGCCGCCCCGGAAGCTGCGGCCGGTGCCGCCCGGGCAGGGGCAGAAGAGGAAAGCCCTGGCCCTGCGGAGCCCGGGGGCCTTGGGGTCCCGCGCGATCCTGACCTTTGCGGCCGCGCACGCGGGCTCCCAGGCAGCGGTGCGCTCGCCGCGGCTCTGGTTCTCCACCTGCACCCCTGCTGGCCGCCGTTCTGTTGCACAAAATAACACTTGGTTTCCACCTCCCGTCTGTGGCCGCGGCTCGTCCTCCCCTCCCCCATCACGGCAGGGGCTTCAAAAGCACAGTCTGTGAAAAAGCCGTGGACGGAGCATCACAATTTTTTTTTTTTTTTGCATCGAAATAAATTTATCTCTGGGCCAAAACACTGTGGTGCAGCGTTGGTTAAGCCTGGCTAACCCCAGCGGCAGCCCTGGCTGCTCCACGTCCCATCCAGCTCCCTGCTGTGGCCTGGGAGGGCAGTGGACGACAACCCAAGTGTTGGGCCCTGCACCCGCGTGGGAGGCCTGGAAGACGCTCCTGGCTCCTGGCTCAGCCCTGGCTATTGCAACCGCTTGGGGATGAACCAACGGATAGAAATTCTCGCTCTCTCTGTAACTTCTGCCTTTCAAATAAATAAATAAATCTTTAAAAAATAAAAGTCAAGGGCAGCCATTCGGGGCCATGGTTAAGACGCTTGAACACCTACACGCCACATCGAGA